ATGTTGTTACACGGAATCTCTGCGCCCCTTGTTTATATGTACTGACCTGAGTATATCAATTGTTACTGAACATATCTGCACCTGACACCTCGCTGGCTTTTATGTACTGCGTACATCAGATGTGTCTAGACACATCCGAACTGCACACTACTCTAGCCCGCCCGAATTAAAAGTGTTCTAGATCTAGGACAACCTTACTTGACAGCTGGTCACAGACCGTAATGTTGCTATTCGGCTGTACTGCTTTATGGAAAGATGACCTGGTAGAGACTGCCAGCACCTCTTAAGGAATGGACTTGTTGGGGCGCTGCTAGCATCCAGCAATAGGAGTCTGGCTGAGACGATGGTAACACGTTTTTCTAGGGCGCTGCTCCTGCGTCTATTGCTCTATGTCAAAGTTGATGCCCCGACGACAGACTTCTACGTGGCCATTTTGACTGAGGGCGCGAGACGGAACGAGGCTCCGTGAAAAGCCTCTATCGTCGCACTGGTCGTCGGCCACAGATCCTGTGCCCTGTTAGGAATGCAGATCCCATGCTGAGTGCACAAATCGGGTGATTATGATCTTATGTCTCGGGAGACGAGCAATGTTTTTACTAAGCTGCAAGTAACTAACAACCAGAATGCACCAAAGCAGATATGATGCTGGCGGTGATGATCCTTTTCGGGCGTTGCAAAGTACCCAGCAACGGTAGCTTATAACACGCCTTCCTCAGGAGACCAAGAATGCCCCTAGTACGTCCCGCCAGTGGGGAGCTCTCAACAATAGGCGTCTACTGAAGCAACCTTTGGACATCTCAGCCACTGCTAATCAGTGTGGAACGAAAGGCGCACCAGCGGTGGAGGTGCCTGACAGCGTCTTGGGCGCTGAAATACGTCAGATGTTCAAGATACATATGCATTCTGCCACCCCTATAGATTGGAGGCTTTTGCCAATTACAAAAGCCTGACAAGATGGGTCGACATCAGTGTTAGGGGCGACTCATGTTGAGCTTGACATCTTGCGCCCGTTCAGACACTATAGATACCTGCCCTTGGGAAGGAATAAGCAGCTGAGGCGCTGAATGCAAGTTTATTGTGGCAGGCAGAGGGGGCAGATATCGTATCTAGAAGATTGGCGTATTAGCGCCGGGTCCTGGCTCTGCGCCGCTCGGACATGCATCCATCCGCAAGGGTCCCTCGGATATTATGGGCATTGAACAAAGCGACCTACTGGATATGGTGGTTCAGAAATGATACGGTAATGCACAAGCTGCCCAGGTCTTTAGGTTGCCGGAAGACCAATCCAGCCTGCTGTCGGACGTCTTGTGGTTGCGGTTTGGCCTAATTGTGTCTGGCTACATCTGAAGTAAGTAGGTATGTTCCTCAGGTGCTGTGGGTAGCTTAGCTAAGTTTTCAGTACAGACCACTTGCACAAGAGAGTACGTAATGCGTATTGCAGCCATGGGGTTGACAAATGGGAGGGTGCCCACCATTGCAAGCCCCAAGCAAGGGCGGGATGCTATGAGGTGACACAAACATCTCAGTCTCAGCGTGAAAATATGATGTTTGCCTTGGCGGAAGACACAAGCTGCCCTCGTCGAGCAATTTACCACAGACGTAACTGTAGTGCAAGCGGCAGTTTTGCTTTACTTCCATCCCGTCGACGTCGTGGGGCTTGAGGTGCATGCACTGGACGCCGCTAGATTTTCTGGGCACCTTTGGGGGCTCAGTTGTCCCGAAATGACTGACGTAATCAGTGCACATTGGATTAACAGGAGGAAGAAAGGAGGAGAGGCAGATGAGGTGACGGGCTATGCCTGTTAGCTGCTGGTTGCGACCCGGATGGAAGTTGGGTTCCACTGGGGGGAGTTTCCTGTAGCTCCTTTGACTGAACACCGACACTGGGGCGGAGCCTTTATGTAAGACTACTGCCGACTTTGAGACTGCTGATATGTCCGCACTTTCACCAGCCCAATCTCGATTCTCCCGTCTACATCGACTCGGTACCCGTAGCGTGCAGCGCTTGATATGATTCACGCCCGATGACATTAACGTATCTTTGATCTCCACACTCGCGCGTCATCTAGCGTCAACCCTACGGCTTTCATTGCGATCCCTGCTCACAAATATCTTCAACCCGCCGACCACTCTGTCTTTCGGCGCGGTGACCAGAGTCCTGCGGGCCTGTATTCCAGTCTGCAATACATTTCTCCTCCATCTCAGAAGGATCCAATGGTCAACGCAATCTTGTCCAATGTCTTCCATGCCGGACTCAAGCGGCTGCTAACACAGGATCAGGCTTGCTATGGTAGAGCGTCAAACCAAATGCACCTCCATCACCCGTCCTGTTCCCAAATGGCAACGGCAATGCGACGAGCTGTGTCGACCGGTCTACTGTTAAGAACACTCTCTCGTACGCGAAAAACGCAGATCTCTTGAGCATCAATACGCGATTGAAAAACCGTCATCCGGAAGATCAGGAGATTTCGTACGCAAGTAATCAAAAGCCACGTTTAGATGATCGTGAAAGAAGCGGGGCTAGTAGGGAATGCGATGTTACCGGATAGCAGCGTCAACGACGGCAGACGGGGAGCCGTGCTCGGCTGGTGCGGGAAAGGAGCTCATGGCGTCTAGGAAATGTGCTGTAGCGGCGAAAGGGTGATTGAAATGAAGAGTCCCTTGAGAACGTCTCGCTTGGAGAGGAGAGAAGACTTGAGGATTGGGCTCTGGACTGGCGGATGACTGGCAGCAGTGAAACGAGCTGCTCCGACAACTTGTATACGTAGATACTCAGCTTTGACGGTCTGTAGTTGGTGCTGCTCTGAATTCTGAAGGTAGGATGGACTACGAACTCTCTCTTTTGTATTGGACGTGAGATGCTGATATCGTGTATCCTTTGAGTGAAGGGTTTTAACTATGCTTAGGGTGACGTTTGGAAGTAATTCGGGAAGGAAATACTGCTATGATTCTGATAAACTTCAGAAGGAATCTGCACTTCTCAGGTTGCTGCTGTCAATCAGTGCGGAAGGAGTGCAGAGCTGGATATCATCAGCGCACATTTGTTCAGGATGTGACCCTTTGTTAATGCTCTGCGATGTGGTGGTCCGATGGAAGAGACGGCCCATAGATTGGTGAGTGCCATATATCAGTCCTGATTCCTGAAGCTAAGTAAACAAGAGACGAGTGGCCGAGAGCAGTCCAAGTGGAAATTAATGCAAGGTCTTGAAGCAAATACACCAGAGGGTTTGATACTCCTTGTTGTCGATGTTGAATTGGATTTGAGAACAAGAAGACGGGGGATGATGAGGCGCGGCATGTACTCGGCCTTGTGATTCCAGCCACTATCACGGAAAAAGCCACGGAAGGTGGAAGAAATCTTTGGCAAAGTCAAACGTACCTCGGCGCCGGCGAAAGAAAAGCTGAGGAGCCTGCTGATGAGCCTGGAAGGTAGAGAAGCGTCTGTCCTGCCCTGCAACGCACGTAAACTGTGTCTCTCGCTCAACTTGCCTAATTCAATCAGCAGGTGTGTATACTCATTGCATCACATGTAGCTGAATGTATTTGCGAATGCTACGTCAGATGTGCTATGATCCATCTGCAGCCCGAGGCTTACCCGCTGCATCTTCCCTCCAAGACACAGCAAGGTAATACTGACGGCCGCCTCAAGATACGGACCAACTCCGAATCCGGGTGGCGTCACGCCCAGCTCTGAGATTGCACCATTTCTCGCGTTTAAAACGTTGTTCGTTTCCGCTTTCGTTCGTTGCGATCAACCCCACAGGAAAGTCTTCTTCCATCCAAGGCACGAGTAAGACTCAATGTCCATCAAACTTTGATGACGGAGCTGCGAAACCAGCAGCATGGATATCTCCATCAACACGTTTCGCGTTCAGTATGATGACAGATCTCTAGGCTATTGCATCAATGCTGCGCAGCCAACAGTCCCGATCGAGCTGCCTTACAGCTCGCGTTTGACATGGGGGATACTGATGGACTTCCTCAGCAGTATGTCACCAGCAATGCCAAACAACAGCTTCGCCTATCGCCCGGACACTTCAGCACCGATGACCAAGACTAGGGTCCGCGACGACGACGACGACGGTTATCATCTTTCTGTTGGTCTCCTAGAGTTTCTTGCCACAGAGGCTACCCATCACTCCCACGACAATCACGCGCTTCAGCATGACGAGTGTGCATGTTAGAGCGTATGTTCGTAGTGTTTTGGTCTAGAGGGGCGGCATACCCAATCAAGATGACTGTCTCGACTCGGGATGTCTGCTCTTTCAATGAATTCCATAGCTAGGTAGCGTCCCTGAGCCAAGGATCAATCATTGAATTCAGCAGTACTTTCGTAATTATAGGTAGACTGCCTGAATTAGAAGCAAGCGAGCGGGGATTCAAGATATCGGCACAGACAAATTTTGCGTTAGGCGAACAGCTTATATGCCCAGCGTATGCGGGCTGGAAATGGTCGCTGGACAGCCTTGAACGCGTGTCATACGCGAGAGCTGGCAAAGATTAATCATCGATAGGGTCAAAGCAGTGAAATCATTGAGGTTTATGAGACACAGCTACTACTATTGGCATTTGATGTTGCTAAGAGGCGCGATACTACACTATTGAGAGAACACTTGAACCAGCACAAAGAGCTACAAGTATTGCATTTTCATTTTCACTAGCAGGTAATGATTTGCTCCGCAAGCGCCATCGGAGAAATAAATATATACAGCAGAGAGACGGACAAAGTCCCATAAAGTAAGCCATCGTGCACAGTCTACCAAAACTGAATGATCCTCTGACGCAACAAATACGGCTGATAGTTCCTCTGTCGAGAGGTTCACCACTGCTAGAACAAGTCGGTATTCTTGCCCAACTGCTGCAGGGCTACCTGACGTCGATCAACATCCTATAGCTCCAAGGTGAGCTGTGTCAACAGAGAGCATCCACGCCTTCCGTTGCGTATTGAATGTTGAGAGCCCTCCTCTTCATGGCTTGACACCTTGATGCTAAGAGACTTGCTAAGTCCACCTCGTCTTGAGCAGGTCGACGATTGCACGCATTTGGTGTAAGGCGGCTCGTCTGGAATCAGCCTTCGCAACGCATGCCTGAAGCTCCGCCGACGATACAACAACAGGGTATGCTGTCCGGAGCGTATTAAACGTGTTGCGTATGCCTTCAACTCTAACAATATAGGCTATCAGCCTCTTAGTACCAGCCGACACCTGTGATGTTATGCTCTCCATAATCTTCCGCTTCCACTCCCGCCTCATCTCTTGGGTGGCTGACAGGTTTTGACCCGTAATCATTGCTCCCTTGCGGAGGGTGATTGGCTCATCTTCAACCAACTTGATCTCGTCATAGCCAGGATGTAGCTTCCAAGCGGTCATCGCGGTGCGTGGCGGCGTTAGGAGAGTCTCAAGGACGCGCCTCCAGAGAGACATGTCAACAGGGCCCGAAGACAAACGTTCCGTCAAAATGTACATCGCGTTGACAAGTACCGCCACGCCGCAGTCGGTGTCGTTCTCTTGCTGGATGCCGTGCTTCCAATCAAAGTTGGCCAGCACATTCGGCAGCCAACGTGGGGAAACCTTTGACAGTGCGCTCATCGCTGCACTCTCGGCGTCCTTCTTCCAGGAAGAGGATTGGCTCAACAACGAGTCCCAAATTTCAAAAGGCCCAGAATGTCGGCGTACCAACAGAACCCAGTGCTCTGCCTTAGGCAGATGAAGTGGAAGTAGTATCGTATGGCTCTCTGTCATGGCTTCGAAACGTGCGGCGAGCGGAGGCGACGAACCTTGAACGATTTGCGTGTGAAGGATAGACACCGCGCCTGGGGGAGTGGCCCCGCTGATCAAGTCGAACAATGTGTTCATAGCGTCGCAATTGAGTCGTACACCAGGCCGTAGCCTTTCCGAGACCCCAGGCGGTAGCCGTGACCAGTCAAAGTGGCAGGAATTCTTGGTTAGGCCTTGGTCACCTGCGGATTGGTGTTGTCCTTCTGGCGTGCTGTGCTGATCGACATGTGCATCTTCAACCGGCTTTAGGGTTGACGTCTCAGCCATAGCCATAGTAGATACGCAAGGCCTGAGGGGAATGATGAGAAATGACTCTTCAGAGACCAAGGTCAGGTGTTCGGGCGGAGCAGAGTTGGGTGTAAGTGAACCGGTGGACATCGGATGTGGGTGATGGCTGGAGACCGAAGATGCGCCTTCGATGGAGCTGCTCTGTCGGATGTCCTGTGTGTCCGAGCCCGGTAAGATGACACCAAGGTCATTGCTAGAGTCGATCACTATATCGCACTCAAGCATAGCCTCGGCCAGGTCAATGTCTTCCAGCTCGCTGTGTTCAAGGCAGGAAAGAAAAGTCCCCGACCTCTTGTTCTCAGCCTCCCGACTGTGTTCCTCAATATCAGAAGTCACAGTCTGATCTACCTCTAATTGAGCAGCAGATTGCCGTTGGAGAATAACAAGAGCGGCCTGGACGTCCGAGGGAACCTACTCGCTCGTTCGAGAGACTCGCTCTGGGCCATTGCCTGATCTCCTTTAGCCTCATGCCGTCTGCAAGACGGGATATGCAACCTAAAAGCTGTAAGAGGAAGCCAGCGTCTTCAGATCGTAGAAGAAGCGCCTACTCGTTATGAAGTTGAATGATCTGAGAAGGGCTTCGGGGGTGATTTGCCAAGCTTGACTGACGGACCTGACCACTCCACCGAGCTTGTTTCCTGCCGTTCCCTTGATGACGTTGTAGAGACTTTGGATAGACCCGGGCAACTGCGCAAGTATCTGCTGACTGGTATGGGGGGCCTTGTACCGCGTGAGCACTGCCTCCAATTCATCCAAGTGCGCGGTTATATGATTGTTCTCCTCGGCGTGACGAACTAAGTGTTCGTGGTCCTGGTTCAGGGGACGAACTGGCGTGGTGAGCAGAGATTCGGGGCGATCTGGACAGAAATAGTTAGCCGGAATGTAGATGAGAATTAGATAGCTTGATCATCTTGCGCGACTTTGCGATCCTGCCCTGATGAACGGGATCCCGTGACCTTTTTTGCCGAAGATAAATCTTGGATTGGCTGCATTGGAGGCACTAACGACGACCACGATGGCGCGCTTGACAACCTCGCCATTGAGACTCCTTGTCTAGTCCGCGGCCGTCGATGCAAGGGCTTTGCGAGACGTGACGCCTTGCATCGGCTTTGTTCGAGATAGAAGCACCGGTACTAGGACAATTGGGCGGTCTTGCCCACTGGCCTCCGAATGTCGAGGCTCTCAACGAGCGCGTGGGCGAAAGAGAGGATTGCAGCCCAAAGAAGAAGAGAAGGGAGAAGGTGAGGATGTCGAGTGGAGATGCGTAGAAGAGACGGTGTGCAGGTGACAGGCAAACGTCATGACGAGGAAGATGCGGCCATTCGAGTAACACCGCTTCTTCACACCGCCAACCTACCACCATCTCAGGATGCCTGGGCGGTCCAGGCAGGCACGTCCTCCAGTATGCACCTCCTCTGTAATGTGTCCCGCCCCGTCTGTCACTGTCGTTTCATCAGCTACCTACCTCTAAGATGCGACAGGCCCCGACCGTACCTGGCTTGGATCCAGAATCATTCGAGTCGCTGCTACTGCTCCCGTGTCCCCCGACGCAGGCTTCTCGACCATCGACGACCAAACATGCTTATACCAGCCGATGAATACTCTCCGATCGTATACCCTGCAGATCTGCCCAGTCCACGCTTGCCACTCGCTTGGACTGCTTCGAAGTCGGTCTTGTCTATATTGCTGCCAGTGGCTTTCTCATCTGACGTCTAATTTGTGTGCACACAGAACGATATGCTCACTATTTCCGGACTGAGGACTGCAGGCAGCTGCAAATCAAGAAATGTCCAGCGCAATCACCGCAATGGATTTGCCTTGGGTGATGTTGGCAGTTGCGCCACTATACGTACCGATCATGTCAGATGTCGCGGGCGGGGGATGGTAGCTTATGAGGCAGTAGCTCAGCTTGCACCGGGGCCCGGCTACCACTTCATGGCGGGGCAGGCGGTAGGGTAGTTGGGTTGGCGTCGACTTTCGTCTGTGGTTCCGGTTCGTTGAGACGAACGATTTTCAATGGAAACCAATCAGTTTTGAGGCTGATGTCCGTCAGGCGCAAACAGAGGACAGCCAGGCGACGGTTCCAACTCTTGAGTGAGCCTCAAACAGGATGCCTAACGGAAGTGCCCCGCTGGAGCAGTGAATTTCGCACGACGCGCTTGGGTGCTTATTATTCTATTGGTTAGATATGTGGGGCTTGTGCAGACGCACGACCCTGGCCTGAGCGCTTGGGTTCTTACTTTCTATTGGTTAGATATGTGGGGTTTGTGCGAAATCACAGTGGGTTTGACGTGCGCTGGGATTCAAACGGCAGAGTGAACCATCGTACGGGAGAGGGAGAGATTGAGGTCTTTGCTTCCCGTCCACAACCATCTAACTACAGTATTATTTGCCGCGACAAACAACGAGCCGGCGAAGCACCTGTGGATCTTCTAGACTAGAAAAGGCCGAATCGCGACACAACCGACCTGCGACTTACGACAGCTCGGAGTAGAAGGCGTCATCTGTAGAAGTTGCCGTGCGCCGTCAATTTGAACATATCTGTCCTACATAGGAGAACGGGGGAGCAGAAGTCGACTGAAGCTGCTCGCGTCCTTGGTCGGCCCAATCTGCCGCAGATCTGGAGCCTCGAGATTGTTGTAGTTGGTTCGTTCGATGTCGAGGCGGCGTCCCGTAGCCTCTTGGTGTCAGTGCAGGATTTGAAGTTCTACTGCCTGTCAAGCGCAGCGGCAATGCGACTCTTCAGTGGGAAGGTGGTGCGGCATGTAACGCGTCGCTGCAATGCTGGAAACCGTGTGTGCGGCGATTGTGACAGACGGGGAGGCGGAGGTGCAGGCCCCAGGGCGAAGGCAGGAGCAGGGGCCAGACATGACCCCGAATGAGGGGCGCGCCGTGGATAAGTGGGAGAGGCGAAAGAGACGACTGCGTAGAAGGAATGAGAGATGCCGGCTCCAGCGCGAGGGCCTGAGGTGTAGGTTGTAAAATAGTACGACCTAGCGCTGCCGCAAGTGCAAGTCACTTGGCAAGTAGAACAAGCCAATCGGCCAAGTTGACGCCATCGCCGCTACCCAAGTAAGTAATTTTACACCCCTCGATTGAATTGTTAGACTTGATGTCTTATATATAAATAGCTGACCAATAGTAGGCTATAGATTAGCCCTAGCCCCACTTATATAGGTATGTGAGGGTATGAGGGCATTCGCGAGGGCGTATATTATGGGTAGGGTAGGGGGCTCTAGGAATTAACTTAACTAACCTGCAATCTAGCCAATAATCAAAGTCTAGGAAAAAGATCACCAAGTTAACAAGTATAGGGGGCAAAATTGACTTGATTGCACTTGCGGCAGCGCTGGTACGACCTGCAACGTGGTGGGAAGGTGCGTACCTGCCAGGGACCGTAGGAGTAAGTCGCCCACGGGTACAATGAATGGTACCTTACGAACCAAGGCCTAGGAAGCAGGTGACCTGCCACTAAAGCATGGTGCAGTGCATCCCTCACGACGGGACCTGCGGGCAACCTACACTGCTAAAATACGTCCCTACTAACAGCTGAAGTGCGGCGCTGGGTCTGACGCCATGATCGCGCCCGCGCCCAGCCTACTACTGCATGGTTTTCAGCGCTCATCACGAGCAAAGACAACTTATTCGCTGTGTTTTCAAAAAGGACTTTTGGAAAGATGCAAACAGAAAAGGCACTGTCTGTGTCGCGACGAGTACCCTGGGCAACTAACATCAGATGTGGCTAGCCACATCTGATATCATCTGTACGTGGCCCAGCTATGCCACTCACTCCAGCGTGCCTTTCAATCCCCCGCCTGCCGTCTTGGCGCACTTGACTATTGCCGCTGATGTGTGGCAGTTGTTGAGGACAGTGGCTGCAGATCGGATTCATCTATTCTCGTTCTTGAGTTCTGAATTCTCGTTCTGATTTGCCGTCTCATTTGGTCGTCGGTCACTTTATCACATCCGCCTATTGTCCCCATAGACACCAAACCTGCACGGACACCAAACCTGCAAAAACACCAAACCTGCATAGATATTCTACGTGCGCTACTCACTGAGTCACACGCACTCATGAGGATGGGAAGTTGCACTTAGTGCTATTGACTTCCTGCCATCACTCGATGAAGGCTTTAATTAAACACGCGACGAAGTAGCCGGATTACCCGGCGCGTGCGGAGTACTCGGCCCCGGGCCGGCAGGCCCCACACAGGCAGGATAGCTGGGCTGCACGGGCAATTTAACCCGACTCGGACGAAAACTGCGGAGCATTCCCCGAAACACTTTCTCGAGCCCTCGGCGGCGTCTTGAACAACCAATTACTTGCTGATCGAATAACCTCGCCATTCTGATCGCTATCCGTGAACGTTCATGTCAAGATGCACTCGGACACCATCCCGATACGGTTCGCCACCATTTTTTTCCAGTACCCATCCTCCACTTCCTTTGACGCGAATCCCTCCGTGTCTTAGATGCGGCCTTACTTGATGGGATAGTTTCGCTGCACCTGACCGACTACACAGTAACTTGGGACAAACAAGCTGTCGCGTTGGGTCTCGATACTGTTTTGTGCACGGTTGCTTCCCATATACCTGCCGACTTATCACCTTGCCCCCAGACACGGGCGACGGGCCAAAATCCCGGCTCTCGGAATGACTCGCCATTTTCGCCAAGACCTCCCACTTCTTCTCCAAGATTTGGCACAATGCGAAACGTCAGGGCGCAGGGGCAATTCAACATCTTGGCCATGAACACAGCCGATTATGTTCCCAGCCGAGCATAACGAAGGATCCACTGCCCTGATTCAAGAGCCTCGGGGTCCTCTGCAACCATCCGTCTCTCTTCTACTGCCTCGACCGACAGTTCGGCTTCACGCCACCTGCAGCTGTGGCAATCTGAAAGGATTCGTCGCGCGCAAACAGACACGTCTGAGTGGATTCAAAATCGCATACTGGCTGCGACTCCGGGCGCGGTGGCCGTCGTCGCTGGCGGGACAATACGTCGCATGTCATCCAGGCTTTTTCATTGGACGCTGGGTGCTGACGCAGCAGTCCCCGGCTACTGATGTGGGGCTCCCCCCAATCATGGGCTCTCCCCTGGAAAGTCTACCCACCATCAACCTGCCTTTTTCCACCAGACTGATCGACCGCCAGGAAACCATATCCCAGCAGAAACCTTTCTCATCTTCTGTCACATACCTACAACTCCTCCTAACGCCCGAAAAAGCTTCCGCAACAACTCAGCTAATCACTTATACAAGTCAACCCGTCCCCTCGAGCTTGATGGCTCGCTTAACACCACTCGCGATACCACAAACATCCAGAACAGCCAACCAGGATGGAGGAGGCGACTGGCAAGACGCACATGATCATGGTCATCTTCGAAGCGGTGTGTAGCCACCTGTTGACCGGGCAGCCGGCAGCGAGTCAAGTGGAAACCCTGCCCTTTGCAGATGCAGAAACTCCTTGCGCTAGCTTCGTCGCTGATGGGCGAGGTCAAGCACTGCTGGCTTTGTGGTGTCCACCACATCACCCAAGATTCTTCCACAGGCATGTCAATATCTAGCCGTCAAGTCCAAGAAAGAAACCACTTATCTTGCAGACCAAGGTAGGAGATGGGCATTACTAGATTTAGCCAGAGGCCCCACACAGGCAAACCGCCATCACAACATCCGACCAATCATTGGGTCTTGTGGTCTGTGCAGATCGTAAAATAATACGACCTACACCGTTGATTGGTCAAGATGAGCAGGGCACTCCACTCTTGGGAGCCGCTGAATCCCACCGCCCTTATCTGCGGCCGACAGCACGTTGCCTGAGCCAACACCCACCCAGCTACGGTTCCAACTCCCCTCGCCGACCTCCTCGAGGCTATCACCGCCGTACAACCCGACGTCACCGACGACACATGCCACCCCCCCGAGCCTGCGACATGGCGGTACATCATTGGAAGCCATGGACTGCATCATCCCTTTCGGAAACCTGAAGCATCCATCCGGCTCGCGACGGCTGCCACCGTCGCTGCGTCTCTGCGATTGGCATCCACTCTGCAGAGGTTTGGGTAGCATGACGACGTTGGAGAACGCCTCCGTTGACCTCCTCAGATCCCTCTAGAGCGACGCCGACACCGCATCCCGAATATTTTATCCTTCGGTCCACCATCTGCTTGCGACGCAGACTTCGGAGCAGACACGATCCCGTTGGAGATGCTGGTGGCTGCGATATTGGCCTAGTCACCACTGAATCTCTTCAACGCCCTGGTCGTCCTCCTTAAGCACCACCCAGCCGCCCTTGTCCCCGTCATTCTCACCAGTGGAGACATCGTCGACAGACCCTACCGCATTCTACTGGGACAGCTGCCCCCAACCAACACGACTGCTACCTTCACCCGGTTGCTCAATCATGTCTACATAACATGCCCGGATCTTTACACTAGCGTCAAGGCCTGACCGTCGCCATCCCGCCCTCTGATTCGGGCATCGAGTTGCTGCGCCCTGTCGAGACGTCTCCCAATTCACCTTCAACATCGCCCCGCGTCCATATCAAAGAGCGGCCATGTTGTCGTCCGATTGGGCTCAAGCCACGCCACATCCCAGGTGGAATCCCTCTTCGAGCGGCTTCCGATTCATAACACCGGCGACGGCACATGATCTTGTTGCGAAGGATAAGGCGCAATTGCTGCTTAGCAATTATGGTTCTACTTTTGCAACAGTTATGAGCCCTTTGACTCTGCTAGTTATTATGTTGTTTTTGAGCAGCAAAGATCCACGTTTAAATCCTAACTCTAGCGTACTTAGAAAGGATTTTTTCCCTAGTAGAGACAATCGTAGATCTAGTAGACAAGTCTCTAAGATCTAGGGGGTGTATTGCGAAGGATAAGGCGCAATTACTGCTTAGCAATTATGGTTCCACTTTTGCAACAGATCTAGACTTGCTCAAGTCGCCATTGGTTTCGGTCTCGTTGACATCCTTCGGTACTGCAACGCCCCAGACACGCGCCTCCAAGAGCTGCTTACCGACACCAGCTTCTCGTTCCCATTGTCCAATTACCGAGCCAACTCTCGCCCGCCTCCCCCCACCATATAGCCGCATCCCCACGGTCAAGCGGCAGCAAAGGCTGGCAACCTGGGGCGAGCAATACGCGCGTTGTAGCCAGGGTCAGTGGGAATTGGTGGGCGGCAGCGGTCAAGCGATCGGCGCCTACGATACCCAGTAGTAGATGGCGTCCAGTGCGGACAATCCAGGTCGGGTTTCGAGTTGTCCCTGGCTAGCTTGGACCACAATTCGCCGTCATCGCGAAAGGGGTTCCGCGATTGTTCGCGCTGCCTCTCCACGGCTTTCGCCACTCGGATCCATCTGACACCCGGACTAGATAACGTATGCCGTAGTCATCCTGGCAATCTTCGTGCCGTAGTATTGTGTTCCTCGGTGTTTTGTTTACTTTGCTCGCGACGTATGCATTAGACGCAGGCGATGAAGGCTCGGCTCAGATACGCCAATTTTACCTGGACGTTAATCCGCGATCCTCTCGAACTTGAGGGGCTCGTGATGATGGTGAGGAGAAACAGGTATAGATAGGCTAGCCTTGAAAGGACTCCTAGCCGTCTGTGAAGACTACTCTCAAATCGTAACACACTCCACAATACAGCATTCCTGACCTGATCCCAGTGGCCTAGAGACTCACACATTGGAAGAGCCGTGAGGTGGCACGCCGAGTAGTGGATGTTGCGTTTCAACTGCCCGTAAGACCACGCCTAATCCATCCAGCGTGGGAATTCCGTCCCGCACTTCCTTCCGTTGCTCGGCCGGAAGCGAGGCCCATGTGTTGTGCCACCGCTCTGCGAAGGCCTTTGGTGACAGGGCCTCTTCCCGAGGTAGGTCCTCCAGGGGCGCATCTTGGAAAGCCCTATAATGCTGACCTGACCCAAGGGGGTTCCGGAAGACATTGAAGTCGACTCGAGCAGGTGCTGGCACGACTCTCAGTTGCAACGCCATCATCTCCAGCGCGTGGTACACTCAAGTCAACCTGGACCTTCCTTACCTTAGACAAGCCCGGGCAGTTCAAGGTTGCTCCTGCCTGCCGCTGTCGTACAAGCATGAGGTGGAAGCCGCATCCTTCCTTTCTTTACCTAAGTTACCCAAGGTAGGTAGGTAGAGCAGGTACCTACCTACCTCATACCTTATCTACCTTAGGGTCCCTTGGTCTACACGCTTCCGCGACCCCACGCCCCAACTTGAACAACGCCCAACATGCCATCAGCACTCACATCAATGGATATCGACAAAACCCTCGCAGACGACATCATTTCTTGTTGTTTAGCCTTGGCACATAATACTAAGAAAGCTAACGATATATAACATCCTACACCTACTTCTCAGCCACCCCTATATTTTAGCTACCCTAAAATACCTTATCGAAAATACTTACTACTATTTTTAAACTTAAATAACTTCACTAATCTTTATTTAATTATTATTATTCTTTTTATAAAATATAATAACTACTAAATATATTAATATATAGAGGATAAAATACTTAGGTATTTAAAACTATTATAGTTAGTATTAGTTTATAAACAGTTTTATTATAATATAGTATTTTTAAAATAATACTCTAATTTTAAATCTATAGTATTTAAATAAAAAATATTACTTTTTCTAATCTATAAAAACTTTTTATAATTTAAGAAAACTACTTAACTAAATAGGTTTAAATTTAAACTACTTTAAACTTATTTCTAATTTATTAATAATTTAAAAACTTTACTAAATATATTTTATAAGTTTATAGAAACTCTTAGTTTCTTAGAAAAAATTAAATATAATCTTTTATTAAGAGAAACTTATTTATAAAAATTTAAAGAAATAGAATAATTAATTTCTAATATATTAATAAAGCTTTAATTAATATAATTAAGTAATAATTTAAATATTTTATTATACTTAAAATTATAGCTATTAAAGCTTCTAATTAATATAATATAAATAAGATTAATATTCTAAAAAGTAGAGGATTAAATAAGCTTATTCTTAGATTATTAGAAACTTATTTTATTTATAAGAAATAATTTAAATTATATATTTAGATATTTCTAATTAAATATATCTTTATAACTAATAAAGTATTACTTCTATTTATTATATATAAAAATAAGAATATTTAGTAGTAGTAATTCTTTTTAGATTTAATATTATATAAATCTTAGAAGTTTATAATTATAAAAAATAAGTAGATTTTAAACTTTATAGTTATTAAGTAGTTAATAGAGGTTTTTATTTCTTTAATTTAGCTAGAAAACTTCTTAGACGTTAAATTATTAATTTTAGATAGTTATAGAAGTTATAAAACTACTACTTTTATATATATATATTTTAAAAATAAAATATATTTATTATTCTTATTAATATATATATTATATATCTTTTAGCTACTTAATTAATTAGTTTTTAAGCTTCTTAAGATAATATATAAAAAAGAGCTTAAATTATTAACTAAATAGGATATTAATATAGTTATAAATAAGAGAAATTTTATTATATATTATAATAAAATATATAAAGTAGCTTTAATAAGTAAGAATATTAGTAATAGCTAGAAATAGATTAGTTTATAACTTATTAGTATAGCTAAACCCCTTATAAGCTTTTTAATACTTAAAAATACTTTAACTTCTACTAAACTAATTAGTTAAGTTTATAAAAAGCTCTCTAATAGTAGGGAAAATAAAAAGTAAATAGTAGATATATTAGTAATTTTTTAGTTAACTTTTAAAAAAAGGGATAAATTTTAAGATTAGTTTAATTTATTTAATAAACTAAATAATAATAAGTATATATAATATTTATTTTTTTAGAAAATTTAAAAAAGTTTTAATAAGAAAATATACTAATTAGTAGTAGTTTAATAAAAAATTAAAGTATTATAAGTAAAAGTTAATACTAATAAAACTAAAAAATAGAAGAAGGTTAAAATAAGCTTAAATTTAAAGTTTATTAATATTAAAGCTATTTAGAGAGCTTAAATTAAAGTAAATAAACTTAAAAGTAGTATAAATAAATTTAGTAAGTTTAAAAACCTTAATAATAAAGAAAGTTATATTATTATAGTATTATAATATATATAAATATTAGTTAAAGTTAATATATATAAATATAAGGGTATTAAAAGTGGGTAGCTGAAATGTGGGGGTGGCTGAGAAGTGGGTGTGGGACGTTATGATCGTTTGCGCTATTATGAGACGCATGTTGCGGAAGAACATCAACTCGACCCCATTCACATTCGGGCATACCTTCCCAATCCAGTCATCGATACACTGACCAGGCTGATCCCGGACAAACACTTCGTCGTCAACACCCGCTCTGCCAAGCTCTCAAAGGCCGCTCGCATCTGGACAGTGCCTGCCCGACAAGTACTCTTCCAGAGTGGCTTCAACTACGCCCGCCAGGGAGACAAGTTCTTCTCCGCCTTGTTCCAGCTCGCTGAAGGCTTTGGTTGTTAGCCGAGTTGCCTTCTCCGTCTTCGTCAAGCTGCGTGGATCCGCCGCAGCCAGCCGGGGACCCTAACCCGCTCGCAGGCCGCTATCCGTTTTCGCCTGGGTCTCAGCCTCCATAACATCAAGGTCGTCCTTCAATCACTTCCCCGTCCTCCTCCAAAGGCAAACACAGCAGTTCTTAATCAGTCATCTACCAACGAAAAGTCGTCCAGGAAGGGGGCCATCGTCGTACCAGAACAAACCACACGTCGCTCTTCCGCCCATAACAGTCATTCCGCCCACAACAGCCCCCCCACCCACAACAGTCCTTCCGCCCACAACAGCCCTTCCGCCCACAACAGTCCTTCCGCCCACAACGCTTCTACGCCAGGACGTCCAGCTGCAGACACAACTTCCCTTTTAGAAGGAAGTATGCTGGAGGTTAGCCGTACGAATTTGTCTCAACAAGAACCTCCCAGAACCCCCACTCAGGAGCTGGCCCAAAGCGGCGCAGCCTATAACCCTTCTAACATCTTCAACACCCCGCGTTCTTCACCAAACCAACACCGTTCTTTGTTCGAGAACAGAGACGCGTCCGTTAGCCATCTCAGCAGACATAACAAGCCCGAGGATATTAAGTTCAAAGACAACCAACCTATCTTTAGTCCCACCAACTTCAACAACGCAGAGGACATTACGCACGACGAGACGCATCCAATTCAAGCACAAGAACATTCTGTCAAGAACCAGGTGTGCAGAAACCTTTACAGCACATGTCGCCTCAGACACAAACCCTCAACAC